ATTAGGTCGCCGAGGGCATATCTTTCCAAAAATTGCGTCTCTGTCCGCACCCTTTGGAGGCCCGCCTGTCTTCCACCAGGTAAGTTTTCCCTTCTTCAACCTTCAGCCTTATCGTGAATTCCTCCTTTAAAAAACTAATGCAAACCAGTGAGAGCAGTTGATAATAGACTTGTGATTCTGACTGCCCAAACAGATATGACGGCAATCTGTCTTCCCAGTAGCGTTATAAGGCATGTCTGCTCAATTGGCATAAAAGAAATAATCATTCTGCTTACAGTGATGCATGAAAAGGAGGTTGTACTTCTGAAGAAACTGGCTACATAACAAAATCCCATTAAATGTCGTTGCTTTCATAACTCAAAGAATTTGCGGAAATCAAGATATACAGTTACGACCCTTCACATCCAGTGACGGCGAGGAAAAGCTAAGAAGGGAATTGTAAGAACTCGAATTGTATATGTAATACGGTACTAATTTCCGTGCAACTCTGCTTTGATCCTCTTTTTTTAAAATAAATTGGCCCTACAGTCAGTTGATAATTACTCCAGTCGCACTGGTCGTCTAAGGTATAACAGCGAAGATGCTGAATCGAAGGAGAAATTAAGGGTGTTGTTGATCGAATAGAGCATTATCACTGATGGTTAGCCAATTCTCGACCTTCTAGTTTTCGCATGGCTTAAGAACAATATATAGACGTCATATGAGTTAAGGATAAAGCAAGTCTGGTACCAATACCGACCCCGGAGGGATGGAAGGCTTGGTTGGCCCGGGCGACTCACGACCCAGGATTTGATCCCCGGACCGCTCGCGTGGTAAGCGTGCCACTTGCCACTATTGCCACCCTTATCATGTGAGACAGCAGTTGTATATATTGCCTCATGCCCGGTTTTTTTTTCTTGAAAAAAATTAGATAATCAAATCTGAACCTGTGACTCGAATAATAACCTAACAATTTTACTTAGAAAATAATTCTCCTTACCCTACTGTTTAGAAGGATCTCCTTCCTGTGGTTTTTCGTCCTTCACCGTTTCCAGCATATTAAAAACTACCCTCCACCGGTCGACGCCAACATCGGATTATCCGATGGCAGTTGGGCAGAGAGTGAACAAAAACACAAACAATGCTGTTCGGCTGTGCATACAAAGTTTTCAACGCTTTATCAGATTTTATCTGCTCACAATATCGCAGTTCTTCTACAGAGAAGTATGGAGGGGAACGGTCAGTGAGCCTCACTTTCCCTCATCTCTTTCTTCCTCTATGCTATGATGACTTTGTTGTTCTTTCACGGAATGGGAGGTGCACGAGAGTTCGCCCTTGGCATTCATCACTCGTCCATTGGTGTGAAACGATGCCCGACTTTCTCTGGTCGGCAGATAGAAAATCTTGCCAGCATTAACTCCATCATATTGCAAGACATGCGGTATATTGAGCCATCAGCGATTCCAATTCAAGTTCCTCCATAAACTCCCCTCCCGTGGGATTGCTGAAATTACAACTTTCTAGAGGTTTTTGTGGTTTTGATAAGGTCTGAGTGACCTACTCACGGTCAGATCACGTAATGGGCAAGTGTGAGATTTCAAAGTGCTATGAAGGGCAATGATATGCACCCATCATCAAATGACCAACGCAGCTCACTTCAGTTTCTAGTCTTCTCATCAACTCAAATCATGATAACTTTCAAAATCGTGTATTGAAAAATATAGATTGTCTTCGAGTCTCGGTCCATGCTCTCCACTTTCCAAAACAGCATTAACCATTGATGTTCTTGAATGAAGTTATCAAACTGAATTCATCCGCGTTCATGAAGACATAGGTCGAAGTTGCTTCAGGGGAGAATTTTGAACAAGTTTTTTCATGGGTTCAAAAAGAATCAGAGGAATTAAAGACTAAAAAAGTCCTGAAATTGCGTATTTAAGAACATTATTCATTGTCGATTTTGAAGCAGGTTTGCCACTGTAGGCAGATGTTTTTTCAGAAGGAACAAGAAGCTGAGAAGCAGAGAAAAACACCAGTGGCGGTTTTCTGACTAACATCTTTTTTGTTTTACGCCATGTTGAAATTGTTTTATTTGAATATTTTGCTGTGCTACTGAGTTCTTTGACAAAGATTACTATGAAAGGTTATCTGGTTGCCATATGATCTTTTCTAGTGAAATGCACCAACACAACGTTGTTCTTATGATCGTCGCAGTGGTAACATTAATTTGTTGTGAAGGTAGGGTAAACTTCCATTTTCAAACACCTACATCTAGTCAAATACGGAATGCACTGTATTTCGGATTCGCTCTGATTTCGCGGTCCTCTTCCGCCTCCACAGAGAAGCGCGACTTTCATAAAATTCCCTAAAATCGAACGGTCGAGAGGATCGAGACTTACTACGGAAAGGACAGAGTGCGGACGGCACGTAATCCTCAGGCGAAAGGATAATGCTGCTGGCGTACCTATCCGTAGCCTTTCCCGCTGCGCTATTGACGGCTACGCTCACCGACTTTCTAACCACTCGCCCAGATCTCTCTAGCCGTGCATCAGAGAGAGAGAGAGCCTTAGCGTTGATGTGGGCAGATCGATGAGAGTCGCATCATGCGGAAATCAACAGGCAGTGGAAGGGTCCCATAGCTGGGTTTCTGGGCAATTTCTCATGATTTTTCCCCCCATCCCGGCACCACTAACCACTTCTTCCTTAATTCTAATAGGCTGCCTTCCGGTCTAAACTTCGCCTTCAACTGAGTGCTGATGCCTATGTGAAGAACCGTAGTTTCCTGGTTGGTTGAACACGACCACGTGGATTTCGCTGCATACCATGCTACTTTTGAGCCTGCTCTGAAGTATAGACTACCAGCAGAAGAGTTGAGCAAGCCAGCCAGCGCCAAAATCCCAGAACTCTTCAAATTCTCCAAAAGGCGCAAACTGAACGAATCGCACGATGAACCCAAATTTAGCGCTTAAGACGAAAATGTGCGAAGTCCTGGAGGCGAACGGTCCCTAGAAGAAGTGGTAACGCTCGCTTTTTGCGCCAGTGAGTATAATACCCATGTTCGGCGCATCAAAACACTACTGACACCCTTTGGAAATGTTGCCTTGGGTGCAAATTTTGAGAATAATTCAGCATAATATCCAAGAAGAGGGGCAGTGAAGGGTGAATAGTGCGATCCTACTATATATTAGGTCATCTCATTCAAACATGTCCAGACATCTAGAGAAATGGTGGGAAAAGTAAAAGAGCTAGAGCATTCTGCTTGCTTTTGTTTTGAAGCTAGCACACCTAGCTACGGTATACCTCAATTAAGTTTGTAGTGCCGCAGGGAACACTTAAAAACATAAGAAAACTCATAGTGACCAAAATCGAGGCGGAATTTCCAAATGATTGGTGACACACGTAAAATTCGCAACTCGAATTCTCTGTGTGCTGGCTCAGCTTACGCGTGATACAGTGTTCTCGAAGTGCTACGTTGAAGATATGGTGTGAGAGCTCAAAGAAAGAACGGAAGCGAGTTGTGGTTGAGGACGCGCTCACATTGCCCACCTTGCCCAAGAAGAGCGGTGGATGAAATGAGGTTTCAAATGGCGCATCACAGATGTTGCACCTTTGCGATGTTTGCCCACGAGACTTGCAGTCTAGCTGCAGCTGTTACGCGAATTGTGCCCAAAAATTGGAGATGGTCCATAGAACATGTTTTTGAATATCTCATTTACTCCCAGATGCAGGAGTCCAGAATCGAATTGGTGTCTGTAGCATTGATCTTCTCTGCCAATAGCGTCATTTAAGAGTATCAAACTGGACTCTGCTCATAAACGAAATTTGAGTGGAATTGTACCCTGAGGCTCAAGTCTAAAGCGTCAACTTTGGATTAACGCGAATGAGGAACTACTCGAATTGGATCACGAAAAGTCACGTGGGTTCACGTGGATGATGATTACGGCGACGGATTTCTGAGATGTGCCTCTTAAGCGACTCTGTCGGGAAAAAAACCTCCATCGGTGCTCAAGTGTATGGCTTGTTTCTTAGCGATCAAATTGACAAAGGAATAGCAGTAGAAAACTACAATAACGATATCATCACCTATGTCGATGCCAGACCCCACATAGCTCATATTGCTCACGGGTATTTCGACCAAACGGATATTGTGACCTCTACTTATCGCCGTATTTTCCCAACTGCAGCCGTGCGACCTCAGCTGTTTTGGCGAACTGAACGCCCTACTCGTTGGGAAGCGCTACGACAATTCACTGATCATCTATACTGACATCAAAAGCATCTTGTCTATACTTGTTGAAATGAAGAAGCTGCGCGGTGTCCAGTGTTTTCTAGACGCTGGGATCGGGTCGTTAACAACGACAAGATCTGCTTGACTTCACACCAAAGTATTAGCTTTTTATCTTTCCTGCTGTTCATTTTATTCGAATAAAACCGTGGACATGTTTGAATGAGATGACCTAATATAATTCGCTAAGTATGTCTGTGTGTGTGTGCGTGTTTGTCACGAAATTCGTAGCTCGGGTCACAGCAATGATAGCGCCATGGTTCTTACATATGTTATAGGGGGTGGGATGGGGACACAAGTGGTATGTGATAGGAACTGATAACGACTGATAATAGCTGATAAGAGGGGCTAGAAAGCGAGCATCGCCAATTTCGTTTTGCCGTTCATATTGGTACTAGAGCGTCTATACTTACAAGTGTTATGTGGGGTGGTCCCGGGACATTGGTGGTACATGAATGGAAGCGATAGCAACTGATAAGGGCTGATAAGATGCGCTAGAACGCAAAAGTCGTCGATTCCGTTACCCAGCTCGCGTTGGACACCAGAGCAACCATACTTACAAGTGTTATGTGGGATGGGACGGGGACATTGTTGGTTGGTGATAGAAGTGGTTAACAACTGATAAAGGCTGATAAGGCGCGTCAGAACGCTAAAGTCGTCGATTCCGTTACGTAGCTTCGCATTGACCACCAGTGCATCCATACTCAAAAGCGTTATGTAGGATGGGAGGGGACATTGTTGGTTGGTGATAGAAAGTGGTTACAACTGATAACGGCTGAAAAGCGCTTCAGAACGCAGCTTGCGTAGCTTGCGCTGATACTAGAGCGCCCCTACTTACAAATTCTATTTGCAGTGGTACGTGCACATTGTATCATTGTATGACCAGCTCACTTAAAGCAGTCAAATTGCATAAACTCAATCAAGTCTTCAGCAAATGATAAGTTTCATTTCTAATGCAATATCAAGAAAGCCCAAACTCATTAAACCGCTAATCCTTTCGGGGTTCTAAATAATGGTGAATGTAAATAAATGATAAGCCTTAGCTCCTCACTTATGTAAATAGGCATATTTCATTTTCATTTTGAGACTGACAGCAATCCTATTCACCGCTAAATTATCTGAATTCAAGAAGAATGGTGGATGTTTACAGTTGTGAGATAAATATGCCAGTTCAGCTCCCAGACGTTATCACGCGTATTCTCGATGGACTTCAGCGAAACTGGGAAAGGTCTAACACATTCAATAGTGAGGTGGTTAATGGAGTACCTCATGCTGATATTCCATGGGTCCTCCAGTTTCGCTAAAGCCTGCCGTGTGATGCGCGCGATAGCGGGCGGAGCAAAACTGGTACTTTCCATAACCGGCTATCGTTCCGAACTGCTAGAACTTGGGCATCAGCTGCACTGACCTGATCACGGGAGAAACAAAATATAAGATTTTTCACAAAGGAAAAGCAAACTAGTGGATCGATGGTATCCCCACAAGGTTCGGAAGTATTTCCTCAATTTTGCTGACTTTTAAAATTGAAAAAGACCATTTTTTGCTTCAACCATTGCGTGTCAATGTACTTTCAGATAAGAAATGCAGCAAGAACGAGGAGTTCGTGGACTGTGGCACGAAATGCGAACCAACCTGCAACGTGGCTCCTTCGCCATGCACTGACAAATGTGGCCAGAGTGGGTGTCAATGTAAAAGCGGCTATAAAAGAGGAGAGAACGGCTGCAGGCTTCCTGGACCGGATTGCGAGTAGCAGAGATTGTTTTGCTGAGGTGTACAATGTGCAATAAAGTCTTTCTATCCTTTGATGACCTGTTAAACCGCCACACACTGCTGGAGCACTAGAAAAACTAGACAAAGATAGGAATACTTTATGAATGGTCAAAAGAACAATGGCTATGGCGTGAAGCGAGGTCTATAACAGTCGCTTCCGTTGTCCTCAATTCAATTCATTTCCTGATTCGCCCCTTTTCCATTCCACTTCTGGGTTCTGACTTTCTTTAAATCCAGCGTCTCGGTTCAAGCAAATCTACCTAAGCAGAGGAGTCATGCGTGGGCACGGAGTAAGACGAAGTAGCTGCAGTTGGTCCAATGAGAGGGGAAGTTGGTGCCAACCGCAGGTATGTCAAGTGCCGAAATAGCACTCAAAGCCTTCCAAAAAGAGGAAGGGAATCACGACTCGTGCTATGTAGTTGGATGTGGAGTGCATGGCGCGTCCCTGGACGAATTCAATCAATCACGCGTTCTTCTATTCATGTTTAGCGCAAAGTGAATGCGGAATCGAGAGACATCAGTACGCTTCCAAATTTGCATCCACCTCGGAAGAGGCTGCGAAAGATTGAATTTTGTCAGTGCCAATTTTCTATAATGGTTTACAACGCTCTACCCCTTTCCCACTTGTCGTTGGAGCTCTCAAAAAATGTGAAATCTCGCACATCTGAAAAGATCTCCACCATCTCCATTTTGCTGTAAAAGTTTTATGTTTTTCAGACAATGCTGCATGTTTAATTTATTATTTGTTTATTTTTTGATCCAAATATTTTATTGATTTATTTATTTATTTATTTACTATGCACTCGTAGGTGCGCTACAATAATTAGTCAGAAACCAAATCGTTATAAAATTGGAACATCGACTTAAAGTAAACACAATTTAAGCAATATTTTACCCACAAGCGGAAAGTTGCACAGACACATATTATTCGAAATAGCTGATGGCTAATTTGAGTTTTTTTATAATATATTTAATAATTTGAAAAGCGCAGGTCGAAAGTTCCAAATCTTCCCTCTGATTTGCAAGTCATACTCTCTGGAAAAAGTTATGGCCATTTAAAAATGGCCGCAATCTTTAGGTTCTGCTCCGTTGTACAACACGTCTAAAGGCCAACTTACGTGTTACAATAGCAATCACATTTTTCATGCGCCACATTTATGCAAAGAACGATATTTGCATAGAGACGGCGCATGATAAAAACAATATTATATTATTAGTAATAGGAAATGCATATTTGTGCGTAGCGACCATTAGTGGGGGATCGTATTTGAGAAATTTCTCCAGTCCTCTTGCTGTTTTGATATGTATTGTAGGTTGATTTCCTCTTTTCCTCCTAGACTTTGAAGCGCGCTCTTACACTTTGACTTCGTTCGCCTCTTCATTTGCTTTTCTCCTTCTCCTTGCTTTCCATTGCACCGTCCTAAAAGGTCTGAAAAATACATATTTTCACTAGTCACCCTCTTCCTTATGTTTGCGGTTTGCAATGCAGGGTACCCGACAGGGTGTGGTTCACTAGGACAGAAAGCGACTTTTTCGCGTTTCGCAGCGCGAAACATTTTTCGCTGCGGGAACCTCAGGTCCACCGCTGATCATCAGTGGACCCGAGTTCCCGCAGCGAAAAATGTTTCGCGCTGCGAAACGCGAAAAAGTCGCTTTCTGTCCTAGTGAACCACGCTACCCGACAGGAGGCCCGTCGCGCGGCAAGAAGGCAGAGTCAGCGGACGAGTTGCAGCGCGTGTGTGCGATGTAGGACGTACAATGGTACATTCTATTTAACTTGACGCGAAATCACTACAGTACGCGCTGCGACTCGTCCGCTGACTCTGCCTTGTTGCCGCGCGACGGGCCTCCTGTCGGGTACCCGGCAATGCAAGTACCTAATCGGTGAAACTACCATACCACGACTTGAAGGCACGCTCCGAGACTAGGTGCCGCTTGAAAGTGCGCGACAAAGGCGCAAGGAGCTCGTCCGACCCGCACCTTCGTCCGCAAGCCCCACCCTCCGCTGTCGGTTGCCACGTGGCGCTGCTTGAAAAGCGGCGCATTTGAGGCAGCGGTCCCATTGCGACCCAATGTCATTGGCACTGGAGCAACTAGAGTTAGGTTCGTGAAACTCGTCCAACGCGCCCCTTCTCTATCCCAAGGTGGAATGCGGCTGAAATAGGGGTCTCTGTGCGGGGCGTAATCGGTGGTTTCGTTTGCTTTCCTTCTCTTTTCCAGACCACCTCCCACCTCTAGCTTCATAACTGAACGCTTTTCCACACCTATTTTATCCCGAATCTTGCCTTTAAACAGTTTATTCGTACTTGATTAAAATATTAGGCCTAGCGTTCATTCCCATTCATTCAGGTGTAGCATCACAAAGACAGTCACCCTTCCATCTACAGAGAATAGTGGCCATTCTAGTTTTTGCTAAGCATAAGGAATGGAACCATTCCACAAAAAAATGAAAAAAGAAACTACCTGTTCATTTCGTTCATTTACCATACAAATCACTGCATCAAATTTTCTTAGTGATGAAAATGGTAACAATGGGAAACTCTTTTACGTCAAATGCGACTAGCTGGATCAATTATTGCTGTGCCCAGATGGCTCCTATACACTTTCTAGCCTACATTGTGTAGAACATGTAAGCATTCTATTACTCCAACAAATATGAAAGAAAGGT